GGAAGTTCTTCATATGTCAATATGGGCAAGTTAGTAATATTCAATACCTTATTAATTATTTGTCATAATTAAACTCCACTCCATATTGGTGAGGGATTAGATATTGTACTCCATTCTTAAGAAATCAATTTTTATTTATTCTAAATGCATTAATAAAATGATAGAACATCATATGAAAATCAAGCAATGATTTTTTTTTATATAATTTTTCGTTATTAATGATCACAATAAATGATGAAATTTGGGCAACCCAATTTTTTAGCAGCGTTGCATCATGATAACTTACTATACTTTAGAAAATCACTAATTATCTACATGAGCAATGTTTTACCTTAAAAGTTTTATTTTTATTTTTTTTATACACGACCACTTTATATTTTATAAAATTTCCAACTCATCTATCAATAGTTATATATATACTTTTATTTTATTTTTTTCTTTCTGATTGTATGTACTATAAATAATAAGCATGGAAAATATATAAATGATGGTAAGATAAATTTATGAGAGAGATTAAGATTTTGTTTGGGGTAGCTCTTTTATTGATTTCCAAAGCAATTTTTTATTACAAAAATTACATATAAATTAAAATTTTGTTTGGGATAGCTGTTATTAAGTAAAAAAATAATAATTTTTTTATTGATTTCTAAAACAACTTGATTAATTTTTAAAGCAATTCTTAATTGTGAAAAAAGATATAATTAAAATAACATCTTATAGGCGACCTCCTTTTTTTCTAGATTGTTTTTTTATTGGAAGGTTAGAGTTAATAATTTTCTCTTCAAATGTTGAAGGCTTATTTGACCTAAAAAGGTTTAAAGAGGAACTCATTTAGTGCTTCCTAGTAGACTATGAGTTTATTTGAGATGGTTATAATGCTTTATAAATTTGATTCTGAAGTCATTGTTAGAAGAATAGTTTAATTGTTTTAGTTACAAAAAAAAATAGTTTTCAACTAAAAAAATTTCTAAAAAGTAATGAGAATGCAGTAAAAAAGCAGTAGTCAAATGAAATTGTGATTGTTGTCTAAGCATCGAAAAAGCTATCACAAACAACCTCTAAGTAGGAGGGACAGATTTTAAATTTTATTAAATACATTAAGACATT